ATTAGCTTATTAATTTGTTATTAAATTGCTATAAGATTAGCTTTATAAAGCTTATTAAGTAATCTATTTATTAATCTATTAAAGATTTATTTCTTATTAAATATTATATTATATATAGTAAAAACCTTATTTTACGCTAGATACTAGATATAATATAAATTACTAGATATATATCTAATAAGGAATCTAATCTATATACAGGCAGTAAGCTTTTACTAGTAGTTTTATAATAGTTATACGTCTGCTGTTAGTATATACACTTAGTAGCTATAAGCTTATAGATATAAAAGATCTAGCTTTACTATTAGTAAAGGCTTAGTGTACTTATTAAGTATAAAATATAAGTAAAATAGTTAATATAGGGATTTCTACTTCTAAGCTACTAATAGCGTTAATTATAAAAGTATATTACTATAGTTATAATTTTAGGCTATAGGACTTTAGGTAATTTTATATTAATCTATATATATTACGCCTTAAGTTTAATAATTATAGTAATTTACTTAACGCTACTATTTTAAGCCTAGGTATTTACTACTAATAGCTTAATAAAGATTTTATAATAAAAAAGTGCCTCTATAAGTTACTTAACGTATAAAATTTCTTAGTTAGCCTTAATAACTTTTAGTGTAATTAAATATTTAGTCTTTAGTATTATAAGGAAGCCTTTTATTATTAATTTAATAGTATTTTAGTAGTAGCTATATAAGTAGAAATCTTACGCTAGGCCTATTACTTAATCTAAGATTATTATTACTAAGTAGTATCTTATATAGCCTTATTTAAGATTATAAAAGTCTAGCGCTAGGTAATTACCTAGCGCTATATTTATAATAGATTTAGAAGGCTAGTAGTAAATCTACTGCCTTATCTTACTAAGACTATATAAATTATAGTCTTATATTATTATAGTGTTAACTTAGGTTAGATATACTTTACGTATAGTATTTATAATCCTTTATAAAGCCTTAGCACCTAGGTAGCTAAGACGCTTATACTATATTATTATATTACTATAAAGTAGTTATTACTATATTAATATTATATATTTATTTCTTACTTATAGGGGTTTTAGTAAATTATTAGTATAGTGTATAGTAAAAGCGCTTTTACTATCTTAGCTATAGCTATATTACTTATAATATTTAAGCACTTATTAGTTAGCTTACTCCTTAATATAGCCTATAAGGCTATAATCTATACGCCTTAGGTAATTATTACCTAGGCTTATATCTTACTATATACCTTACTAGCGTAGCCTTATAAAAGAAATAAGTAATATAGTAAACGCGCTATAATATATTACGTTATATATATAGAGCTTTATTAGTAAGCTATTAGCGCCCTTTAAAGTAATCTTTATAGTACTATATCCTTTAATTATAACTTAGGTAGTACTAGCCTAGATATAGTTACTAATTAAGGCTACTACTAACATAATAAACTATAATATATAGTTAAATATATAGTTAGTAGTGCCTAAATTAAGTAAGGCTAAATTACCTAGCTTATAGCCTTATAAAGTAATATAAAAAGCTACTTTTATATAGTATCTACTATATAGTTAATATAACTTAGCTTTAATTCTTTATACTTATTTAGTAAGTTTAGGATTACTTACTATATACTTATTAATTTATTACTAACGTTACGTATTTACTTACTAATTATTAAGCCTTTATAACTTATTTATAAAGTAGTAAAGTTATAATAAATAAGCACTAAAGTATATAAGGTATTTTACCTTTTTACTTATACTTTATTAGTAGTAATACCTCTTATTATTAAATTTATTATCTTTTACTACGCCTTTAGCACATGTTAGGCTATTATTATTATTACCTCTAGTTAGGCTAAATACGCTATAGCCTGCTTAGCTATAATACAGTAAGTTATTAGTAAAGGCTTTAACTCTCTCTAGCGCTATCTTATAAAGAGACTACTAGTTAAGATTATTCTAATTACTTATTATTTTACTTATTACTATATATAAATCTAGCTAAGAGCTAAGTAAACTATTTTATAAAATAGTAGTAAGGTTATTAAACTAGATTAATAGCTATTAGTAGTTAGGTAAATTAACTTATACTAATTTACTATAGGCTGCGTTCTATTTATTAAGCTATATAGTAAGATCTTTCTTAGTAGTTAAGGCCTTTTACTAGGCTTTTACTAACACTTTACTATATTTATTATAAGTATACTTTATATACTCTTTTTTAGTTATTCTTATTACTATATTAAGCTTATTAAGCTATTTAGCTAGTAATTTATTAGATTTATAATATCTTTCTTAAAGATCTATAGATATAGTAAATTTAACTATATTAGCTACGTCTTTAACGTCCTTTTACTAAGTAGTATACTTATATACTTCCTTATAATAGTAGCTTATCTTACTATTTAAGTACGTAAGATTATATAGGTTAAGATTATCTAGTGTTATTATATATTTAGTTTTATATATAAGCCTATTAGGTATAGTTATAATAGCTTTACTTCTTACTATATATAGCTATATAGTTACTTACTAAAATATCTTAGTAATTACTATAGCTATAGTAACCTCTTAGTAAGTAGTAAGCTTATCTTTAGTTAAGGTATATAGATATTATATTATAAGTAGCTTTATTAGTTTCTTTAGATATATCTTAAGGATTAATTAGTCTACTACTATAACCTCTAGGTTAATATACTTCTAGAGATTATAACGCTTTACTTTTACTTAGATAGTATTAAGCTATGTAAACTAATTACTATATAATTATAGGATAGTTACCTTATTATTATAGTTCTTATTAATTATTATAATAGTATTTAATTAGTAGATAAGTATATTAGTTATTATAGACGTATGTATTAGACTATTAATTATTAAATAGTAGGGATTATAATAGTTACTTAATTAATTTTATTATATATTATATATTTATAGTAAATCACTATAGAAATAGGGAGAACCCCCTATTTCTTAGTTAGGAAATCCCTAGCTAATCCTGGCGATATTATTGGTGGACTTGCCCTAAAAGTGGGGCTAATTTACTGCCTATTCCCCGACGATTCGCCGTAGGGCAACCGTGTATTCGCCGGTTAATTCACGTGTAATTCCGCCACATTTAATATTTATATTTATACTTATACTTTATATAATAACCTTTTTACTTAAAAAAGTATAGAGGAGCCTGTTAATAGTCTATATGGGAAATACTAAGACTACCCTATAGATTACAGACCTACTTTAATATAATTCGGCTAATTAGATTAACTAGATTTATCCCCTTTCTTTTTCTTAACTAGGGCCCTAGTAAGAGTAATAATCCTATTATAATAACAATAATAATAATAATAACACTACTTTCTTTACCTTGTAACTATTACTATTATAGTGCGTGTTGACCCTGTTATACAGGCAATTATTCTTACCCTTTGAAGTCGTATTGGAGGTAAATCAGCTGACAAAGTGGCAAAAGCCCTAGGGATTTCCTAACGTATAGTTAAAGATATCCTTGCCTATGCGAAAAAGTATGGCTTTGACCTAACTGCTCCTACCTTCTTTTTACTACCTAAGCACTATAATAATACCCCTTAAACTAGCTAGCTAAAGAAGGTAACACCTATAGTAGCAGACCTTATTATACAAAAGGTTTACTATAACTAATACGGCAGAGAAAAGACGTATGCTAATATAGCTAGTAAGCTATAAAGGGAGCTTAATATAGATCTCTTGGCCTTAATAGTCTATTAGATCTTTTAGTAATATAGGTTTAGAAAGACTAAACCTATAAGGAAACTAGGCTTATCTTATTAGATAAAGTAAGAGAGGCTTTCTTAGTGCCTAGCTTATTACTACTAGACTCTAGAGGATTAAAAGAAGGTTATATAGTCTAATAAAACATCTGTTATTTTATCCTACTGTTATAGCAGCTACTAACTATAGTAAAGGGTCTATAAGGCCTATATAAAGTTATGTATATATGCTTAATAGAAGGGGTATACTAAGTTTATATTTTAGGGCTGCTTTACGTATAATAAGAAAGGCCCTTGCTACTGCTAGTCACCTAAGTCTGCTGTAATGTAATAAGCTGCTGCTGCTAAGGTTAAGGCGTTAAATAAGGAGCTTAAGCCTGTTAAGCGTGCTAAATAGGAGCTAGAGAATAGGATAGCCTGGCTTTAGCTCTAACAGATCCCTGGCTGTAAACTGACTTTTTGCTAGAACGCCTATACTAGTAAGTTGACCCGTAAGGGTAAAGGAGGAATTAACTAGTACTGTTACTAGAAGGAGATCCTTTTACCTAAGCTCTTCCTATTTGTTACTAATGAGTGCTTGCCTAGCACTATTGTTTAAGAGGATAAAGCACCTTCCTATAACTACTACTATATCTACTATACGTATGCTGCCTATAATATTTAGAAGATACTTTAGTGTAGTAACAGCCCTAACCTTAACCCTATTAAACCTTACTGGCTGTAGATAAAGCGATTTATAATAAGGAAGGGGGCACTAGTTAACTAGGCTGCTGCTGTAAAGGTATAGTAGGAGTGCTAGTAAGTATTACCTTAGGAGAAAATCTAGGCTTAAATTAAACAGATACCGGCCTATATTAAGGCTATTATTGCCCTTAATAGTAGTAATAAGTATAAGGAGGGCCGGCAAGCTAGCAGATACCGGTTGGAGGTGAAATATAGCGAATAAAAGCCATCAAAAGCCTCAAATCTAGCTTGACTTTGGCGCTCTTTGGGACACTCTTGGGGCAAGAAATGTTGGCTACAATCACTTTTGGTGGGCACCCCTGTAATTACCCTTGCCACTTGACATGGGGTGGTCTTGGCATTTCCCGCATGGACTATTGACAGGCTCCTCCGTACTATATAATATTATTTAAGTAACTCTTTATTACTTTATATAACCTTATTTACTACTATATACCTTAAGTTATAAAAGTTATAAGCCTAGCTTTTATTAAATTTATTAAGAACACTTATAGCTACTTTATAGTTGCTTAAGGAATAAACATCTGGTTTGAGTCTACGGCACCTGCTCCCCCTTTGTAGGCCCCCCCAGGTATATATACACGACCGTCTACAACAGCAGCGGCAGTGCCGTGGCGCGGTTCTGGCATGGGCGCCAGAACCTCCCAGCTATCAGCCTTTACATCGTAAACCTCGACGTTATTAAATATGCCGTTCCCGACCGGATTCCCCTCTCCCCCAAAGGTATAAATTTTGCCGTCAACCAACGCCGTGGAGTGTGATCCCCTCGGCGTGGGCATCTTACCCTCCATCTCCACCCACGTCCGGGTCGCGTTTCCCAGGTCCATAGCCCACACCGTCCCGCGGACGTTTCTTTCGCCGCTGACGCGTCCGCCCACCACGTAGAACGTGTCGCCAAGCACGACCCCTCCGCAGTGGTCGCGGCCTCCGTCGGGCAGGTCGGGGAATGCCGTATCCCACTGCAGCGTGCGAGTGTTGAACATGGACGTCCACGGCACCGTCGTCTGCGCCCCGTTGAGGAAGTCGGTGTAGTTCAGCCCACCCGCGATGACGATGTTGTCACCCCAGACGCCCACCCCCGCGGCGCCGCGCTCGGTGCCTGCGGGCATGGGGGGCAGGGCATCCCATGTGTCTGTGGCTGGGGTGTAGGCGAAGCTGTTGGCGATGGGGTAGTTAACGCCGGAGCCGGCGATGGCGCCGAGGACGTAGAGCTTCCCGTTGAGGGAAGCCATGTTGGCGTGGTTGACAGCCATGGGGATGTCGGCGACCCGGCGCCAAGTGTTGGTGGTTGTTGAGTAGACTTGCATGTAGCTCACAGAGGGTATGGTTGTGGCGTTGGGAGGGACAAGGTTGATGCCGCCGACAATATAAATGTCGCCGCCGATCGCAGCAACGCTCTCTTCCTGCTGAGGGCCGAGTGGAATGGGAGGTAGTAAGTGCCAAGAGTCAGAATTGGATGGTAGGGAGAGAACATGTCGGGATAGAAACAAGAGCGGTAAGAGTGGTGTTAAAAATTTGGTGTTCATTGTGAATAACGTCTTTATCAGGATACAGAACGAGAGGATGCGGATATCCATATGAGGCTGCTTGTGTGTAAGCAGCTGTTCGATTGATCCCTAGAGAACTTATTGACAATGAGCCCGTGTGAAAGGAATCAGCTATGATTCCTACCTGTTCTCCCTTATAGGTGATATGGCTTTGAGCCCCTGAAAGTCCCTCCACACACGGTACTTCTGTTTTCCCTCCGGAACCCGACTTTAAGGTTACTTTTTGCTCTGATCCGAGTCAGTACCTATTGAACTTTAAATGACCTACGACATCGTTTGGCGAGGTGGGAATCATTTAAATTAAATTAAATCATTACCACCTTGCCTCACATCCAGCCACCCCCACATCCGAGCCATCCGAAAATGCCCCATCCATTAACATCACCACCTTTATTACATAGTACTATGTAAACTATTATAACATTTGTTAAAGTAGGCGGTTTAGCAACAAAGTAGGCTAGGGAGTCTGTGCGTAGGAGAAAACATATAAGTAATTTATGGGATTGATTTCACTACATAGATAAGAGAAAATCTATAATATATATATAAAAAAGGGTTAATACTAATTTATATAGTTATAATATATTATCTATTATAGGACTTGGTATTTAATAAGTTTGTCTTAAATATATAAAGTTATTAAGTAAAAAAGAATGTATATATATAACTAATATTTAGAGTATTTTAGCTTAGAGTAGACAATATTATAATATTTATAAGTAGGAAGGTTTTTAGAAAGTAGGTAGCTAGGCGGTATTTTTTAGGTAGGCTATACCTAGGGGTGGGCCAGAAGTAGGTGCTTCAACTTAATAATACTTATATAACAGGCTGCCGACTAGCTAAATCTAAGCAGGAAAAGAAATCGCTAGGTATTTGAAACGTTGGGTCATGTGACTTCATGTGATCAATAACTTTCTGCACTGGATTAATGCGATAATTGAAATCGAGCGTTTGCTCTGCATTGGCTTTAACCCGGCGTCTCGTTAGTAGGCGGATGTTGCAATATTCAAACGTTTCTGTAGGACTCAGAAATGACTATACTTACTCGGTAATGCCTGGCCTTCTAAATAGTTCAAAACTTCGCCAGGAGGCTTCTGGTCGAAGCCGTAGTTGCTCATAATTTGGATGGCAGATGCGCGATTGTGCCTGATTTTTTGATAGACGGCCAATCGCTCCGGAACTTCAGCCTTGGTTGCTCCAGACATAACGAGGCCGATTGCGAGGCCGTCTTCAAGGCCTTGTGCTCCACCCTGACCCAGATCTGTGAAGGACGTATCAGCAAAGACAGCGCAATATATAACCCAGGGACCAGAAGTCGATCTTTCCGGTCTGAGACGGATGAACTCACGCGGCAGCATTGGGTGAGCGGCATCCCCAACAATAGCCATGTTTCCTTTGTGCCAAGTTGGAATTGGTGGACGGTATTGGAGAGGCCAACGTTTGAACTCTGGACATTTCCTATTGTTGATCCCAGGTAGCATGTCAGTCACTTCCAAGTAAATAGCGCTTTGGGCGGCTGAAAAGACTGACCCAACGACTGAAAGGAGGCCAGGATCAAAGCCTTCCAGCGCCTTTAAGACTTCCTCCTTGGTTGCTGGCGTGTTCCAGTCTAGGAAGAATTATCAGAGATGCCGGTTCTGAAGAATGTCATAGGCTTTGTTGATATTCTCACCTTCCTTGCCGGAACCTAGCTCATCATTTCTACACATGATGGTGAAGTTGAGAACTTGAGTACTTTTCGTAAAGCATCCATGTCAGCCCTATGTACTTACTTTACTCTATCTGGCCCCTGAGGTATTTTGTAGTTTTTCTTGGTCTCGGAGACTTACTTTCGACACGGATAGTAGACTAGTCTCCTATTCCCCGCGACATCCGGCCAGATTCGGAGGCCCTGCAAACCCACCAGACCCTTAGTGAAGAAGCTAGTCTCAGGGTCGTCTTCAACGAGGGCTCTGGGGATAAGGAACCGATAGCAGCAGTTAGAGTGCTGGGCAGGCTTGGGAGGGTTCGGATGGCCGAGTATGGCCGCAACAGATATTGAGTGTATCCCATCAGCCCCGATCAACAAGTCCCCGGTGAGGATGGTGCCATCTGTGAGAGTCATGGAGGGAGTCTCGGGATCATAGGCCATAACCTCAGATTTAGTCTTAATCGTGACTGGCGTCCCAGGCCCATCCGGCGCTGTAGCCATGCGTTTCAGATTTGAATGTAGGTCAACGCGGTGAGCATAATACAAGTGTGCCCCGTACTTGTTAATGTTGTGCCTGAAGTCGGAGTAGGCCAGCACCTTGTCCCGCTGCGTGGGCGAAAAGATGTACATGGACTCGGACGGGACGAACTGGGCCTCGACAACATCAAGTCCCCATGCTACCAGGAAGCGGGCGACATTAGGCGGCACGTTGATAGCGGCCCCGAACTCGTGATTCAGTGAGGATCGCTCGTAAATTGTCACAGAATGTCCGCATCGACGAAGGGAGATGGCGGCGCTGAGACCGGCCACTCCGGATCCGGCGATGATGACCTGCATTGAGGGTGGATTTGATGACAGGTTTGCACCGAGTAACACATCAATCAATAAAAAGTGAATTAGTTATTCAAGGAAAGTGAGTTAGGAAAGGAATCTTGGTTCGTATCATGCGCGATTAAAAGCGCAGCGTCTTTTAGAATAACTTTTCCACGTGACCGTACAGGATCAAGGACAAGTGCAAATGACTAGGAACACACACACTTACAAACCTTCTGGATGAACCGACAGATGTTGGACCGAGATTCATGAGTCAAGTACATTTGGGTATAAAGGGCACGTACGGATGACAGCACTCTTATCTGGAAAGAATATCACGGAACAACACAACTACCCCCCACCCTACTTGCGGGCCATCCCCACATTCGGGCCATCCGAAAATCCCTCATCCGTCAACATCACCACCTTTTCCAAAACTACTACGGAGTATTACCTGTAGAAATCCACACCGCCTCTTACACACAAGATGTCGCCCAGCCATCAAGTGGAACGTGGCCGGCGAGGGTTTCAGCGAAAGCGTCGTTTTACCTTTCGAACAGCTGACCAGTGCATCGGAAGGTAGTGCCAGCCCCATCATATGCTAAAAGCTTGTACCAAGCTTCACCTTATCAAAAGGACCATCAGTCAAAGCTTAAACTTTGATCTCCACCACGGAGTGTTCACATACCCAGGTGCATACTGGAGCAGCTTTATACCTATTGAAAAAGCTTAGCGAACTATAAAACCTGTAATTACGTTTAATGCGTTATGAGGGTTTGCTATACATTATAGAACTTTGGAATGCTGAACATGGCTGTTTCGTATCAGTCATATAGAGGTGCGCCCCGAAGATTGCTGCTACTATCCTGGCTGCAGACCGGTTGGATTACTCGGAAGACGTCCAAGAGGTAGACACTCAAAGTCCAAGGCAGACCAAGATAATATGTCCCCCGATCTAGGGCACAAGTTTGAGGCTGATGAGCTGCGGCCATTCGAAGTGGCCGTCATCGGCGGCGGCATCATCGGCCTGGCAATGACATGTGGACTCTTGAATCGCGGCATCAGGGTCAAGCTATATGAGCAGGCGCAGGCGTTCGGCGAGGTTGGCGCGGGGATCGCCTTCACGGCCTGCGCACAGCGATGCATGGAGCAACTTGACCCGGCCATCCTCGAAGCCTTCTGGCAGGCCGGCGCCGTGCCGCTATCAAGCTCGGCCGGCTCCACCGACCCAAACGACTACCTGCGCTGGGTCGATGGCTTCAACTCGCACCCCGGCCGCGATCCTCGGTGGCAAGAGCCGTTGTACGAGCTGAGCGCTGGCGTCAAGGGCTTCGTAGCCGTCAGGCGCGACGAGTTTGCCTCCCGGCTGCTGAAGCTGCTTCCAGCTGATGCGTTTGAGCTGCAGAAGCGCCTAGAGGATATCGTTGATGAGACTGTTGGCGGACACGGGGAGAGGACTGGCAGGAAAGTGCTGGTGTTTGCGGATGGCACAACGGCTACTGTTGATGCAGTGATAGGCTGCGACGGAATCAAGTCAAAGGTTCGAGAACTCATGCTCGGCAGAGACAACCCGGCCTCGTATCCCACCTACACACACGTTGCAGCGTACCGGGCCGTCATCCCGATGGACACGGCCATCAGGCTCTTGGGAGAGCGCAAGGCGAAGACGTTCAACAACCACGTCGGCCCCGGGGCCAACATTTTGCACTACGCCATCTCCAACCAAACGCTTGTCAACATCACCGCTTTCGTCTCGGACGAGGGCGAGTGGCCCGACCACCACAAGTTGACGTCTGACGACGGCTCCAAGGCACACCTACAGGAGGTCTTCGCCCGTTTCAACCCGACCATCGTCGACCTCATCAGCGTACTGCCCGAAACCCTCCCTAAATGGGCTATATTCGACCTCGCCGAATACCCCCTGCCCGCCTTCCACAGCGGCCGCGTCGTGCTCGCCGGTGACGCTGCACACGCCAGTGCACCGCAGCACGGCGCGGGCGCTGGCATCGGCATGGAGGACGCACTATGCCTCGTGACATTGCTCGACCGCGTCTGCCGGGAGACAGCCCCTCCAGAGCGGCCGTACGCGGCGCTCGAGGCGGCATTTGCGAGCTTTGATGCCGTCCGACGCACGCGGTGCCAGTGGTTTGTCAACAGTAGCCGGCGCATCACCGACCTGCACCAGCAGCATGAGTGGGGAGATCCGGCCAAGCTGCTGAAGGTGCGGTCATGCTTTGAAGAGATCAAGGACCGCTCGCACAAAATTTGGCATTTCGACTACGAAGGCATGCTAAAGGAGGCTATTGGGAAGTATGAGGAACTTCTCTCGAGAAGAGGTGCTTAATGTGCGACATGAACTGTGCTATGCAGAAGCAAACCATTTGGTATAATCTCATACTTTAACCATCACCTCAAGACCGCCCCTTTGCACTCTTATAGCCAAATAGAGCAGTGAGCCCAGCAGCAGCGACACACCACTGTACGCCCACAAGCCTTCCCAGCGATAATCATGGTTTACGGGGCCCAGGATTGCGCCAGCAAGAGGTCCGCACGACAGTAGACCCAGAGCAATGACAGCGTATCCCGTGCCCACGCGCGTGCCCATCAAGGCTTTGTTCTCCGTGAGCAGAGCCATACAGACCGGGGGCATGGCGATGATGATTCCGCCTAGAAACCCCGTGATGACGGCGACGGTTGTGACGGCAGCCTGGCTCCGCACGATGATCAGACAAAGGATGACGATGCCGTTCGCGGCCGCTGCGGGTGCCAGCAGGTTGAAGAGACCGATCTTATCCGAGAGGTAGTTGGGGAGGACTCGGCCAAAGCAAGATGAAGCGTTGTAGATGGCCACGAGGTAGGCCGAGTGCCCACCGCGAAACAGCCCAAAGAAGTCGGCAAATGATGCAACATAGAACTGCAGGACCACAACTCCCATCATCGCCAGGAGTGTTGCGACGACCAGCATCATGAAGGGCCTGTCGACAAAGGCAGTCAAGTCGACGGGCTTTCTGGGCTCCTCCAGCTTGGGGCGCGGCCGCACAATACAGACGGCGAGGCTCACAGTCACGAGCGAGACCAGAGCCATGGCCCGGACCGCCCAGGCGAAGCCGACGCTGTAAAGCAGTCTGGACAGCATCAGGGGGAAGATGACCCCCCCTAGCGAGGCACCGGCGTTGACAATGCCTACAGCCAGTCCGAGGCGCGTACTGAAGTATGTTGGCACTATGGAGATGGTCGGCACGAAGAGGCAGCCTGCGCCGACGCCGCCGCAAATGCCCTGGGCCAGCAGGGCCTGCCAGTACTTGGAGCAGCTGCCCAGCGCCACATGACCGATGACAATGAGGAGTCCGCCCGTGACTAGCAAGGGCCGGGCGTGGCCTCTGTCGTATATGGGGCCCGTGACGATTCCGGAGAAGAGGATGAAGAAGGCCTGTGCCGAACCGATCCACGATATCGCGGATGACGAAGCTTGGAAAAGGACCCCCGACTCATAGTGGGATTGGAACACGCCAAAGGCGTTGATGATTCCCCAGCTGTTGAGAAGCAGCAAGAAACCTGCGAGGACATGAAGCCACGCAAGAAGGCCGCCGTCGGGTGGAGGACCAGGCGGGACAGGTGTAGCCGAGGTTGCCTCTGCACTCTCGTCTGTTGCGGCTACCGTATCTGTGACGCCTTTTTGAGACCTAACAGAAGGAGACATATTCTGTGCTTTCCGAGAGTTCATCTCCATTCGTGAAAAGGATACGGTGGCTTCCGGCCTTATATAGGTGGACAGTAAAGCCGATGGAACCACATCTGTGGGCTGGGGAAATTAGGTTAACTATGCCCCTATCCGTGTAATGGGATGACTAGAACATGGTGGCTGGGAATATCAATCCCAGAACTGCCGAGAGAATGCATACATCTATGATCTAGACAAGTATCTGTAACACGGGCAATACCACAGGTGCCGGAATTTAACAACGGAAAATCCGGAATCGCCTGCTTCAAAAGCTACACTGTGATAGCTACGCATCATTGAAAAAAGAGATGGGTGGGCGCTGAACCCTTGCATCTTTTGCAAAATCTTTTTGTACTTACATGCATGTATACATGCAGTTGCAAGGTAGGATTCTCTTAGAGTTTTACTAGATAATAAGCTTTGAGATTGCTTGGGATAGGCCTTGGCTCAACGGTTAGTGTGCTTTACAGGGTCCACGGGTGTTCCTTGTTTGTTCATCCGAAATGACTAGTCATCCGAACTCCTGATGAGCGCTGTCCACAGTTGGGCCGCTTTTATACAATAGAACCTATACTAAGAACCTGAGAGATAGTACTGTTGTGTGACGTGGCCGTAACAGACTAGCGGTCATTTAAGGAGCGATTGCTGTACATTCTGATGCTCGTCTGTTGATACTCGCAGTCGTCGCTACGACCATTTGCAAAGATACTCGCTTTGGACCGTTACAGGCTGGTCCGAAAGTATATTACCAGACTGTCTCCCTGTTGTCAAAATGAGGTAATGGAGAATGTCTTACATCCCGGATCAAACAGACAGGACTGACATAAACTTAGGCCGTCAGCCATGGCATTCAGTCCACGTCCAGCCGACAAGCCTCTTCTCCTGGTCTTCGGCGCGCTGGCGCTGTCGATGGACATATCCAGCATTTCCAGAATCCGTGAAGCAACAAGTCGATCTCGCCAAGGCTGGCTACAAGACATCGTATCCGGCCTCCCGGCAGACTATACCACATGCCGCTCTGTCCTCTCCTCGCTGGGTCAAGACACTTCGTGCTATGAGGCAGGCGTGGAGCAACTAGATGACCTAACCCGCTTCTTCAGCAGAGACGTGACCGGTCAGGAGGCAGCAAGACTGGCGGCGTCAATATCCTTTCCGCTTCCCAACAAGTTGCTCATTCCGCTGGTCGTCGTCGCCCAGCTAACGCAGTATGCCGAATTCCTGGCCCGCACCGGCATAGGCCATGGCCAGCAGTCGCCGGGGCCAGACACGGCTGGCGGTACGCCCGAGGTGGAGGCTGTCGGCTGCTGTGTTGGTCTTTTGAGCGCGTTCGTCGCGTCCAGTTCCAAGAACGAGGCCCAGTTCAAGATGCACGCGGCCGCAGCCATCCGGCTCGGCATGCTGATCGGAAGTGTGGTGGACATATTCGAGGGCCAGGACGGTCCCAAGTCAGGAGCCATCAGTATCTCATGGGACTTGGGAGAAGACAGCAGCAGCAGCAGCAGCGTGCCCTCGACACTTGACAGCATCCTGGCGGACTTCCCACAAACCTACATATCAAACCACCACGACCGCAACCGCGTCACCATCACCGGTCCCCTGCACACACTCTCCTCCTTACGGCATCGCCTTGAGATGGCATCCAACATGAGCTCCACCAATACCCCCGGCCTCCACGGCCGCTACCACGACTCCCGGCACTCGACCAGCTCGCTCGACGCTTTCTGCGAGACGCACCCCGAGTTCCAGCTGCCAGACGCCTCGGTGTGTCGGGTGCCGCCACGCCTCAACAGTAACGGCGGGCGCGCAGTCCACGGCGGCCGGCTGCACCAACACGCGCTGCGGGCCATCCTGGTCGAAAAGCTGCGGTGGTTCGAGACATTCCAGACAGTTCGGCGCGAGTTTCTTCGCGACGGCGAGATTGTCGTGTTTGGCCTCGAGCGACCCATACCGCCGTCCATGTCTGTCGAGCTTGCGACGAGAGTCGACTACAGCTACATGGCCGCCGTTACGGGCATAGGGTACAGCACGACGCCGGGCAACAACACCAGCCCGGACGGCTTACCGTACTCGGAGAACGACATAGCGGTGGTTGGCATGTCCGCAAAGGTGGCTGGCGCAGACAGCCTCGAAGCCTTCTGGGACGTGCTCTGCGCAGGCGTATCACAGCACAGCGAAGTGTCTCCGGACCGCTTCGGCGGCGGCTTCGGCATGGACAAAAGCATGTTCCGGACCGCCGCCCCCAACCGTTCACGCAAGTGGTTCGCCAACTTCCTCTCGGGCCCCGACGAGTTCGACCACCGCTTCTTCGGCAAGTCCCCGCGCGAGAGCGCCGCCATGGACCCGCAGCAGCGGCACATGTTGCAGGTCGCGTACCAAGCCGTCGAGCAGGCGGGCTACTTCAACAGCAAGCAGGACGAGACCAACGGCCGCGTGGGCTGCTTCGTCGGCTGCAGCACGTGCGACTACGAGCAGAACATCGCCTGCCACGACGCTTCTGCCTTCTCGGCCACGGGACAGCTGCGCGCCTTTATCGCCGGCAAGGTGAGCCACTACTTCGGGTGGACGGGGCCGGGCGTGACCATCGACACGGCATGCTCCTCGTCGGCGGTCGCCGTACACCAGGCGTGCCAGGCCATACTTGCCGGTGACTGCGATGCGGCGCTGGCCGGGGGCGCGTTTGTCATGTGCGGGCCGCAGTGGTTCCAGGACCTCGCGGGCGCTTCGTTTCTAAGTCCCACGGGCCAGTGCAAGCCATTCGACGCCGGCGCGGACGGCTACTGCCGCGGGGACGGCGTTGCAGCCGTGTTCCTGAAGCGGATGGACAAGGCCCTCGCTGACGGGGACGAGATCCTGGGCGTCATTGGGGCTACCGTGGTGCAGCAGAACCAGAACTCGACGCCCATTGTTGTGCCCAACGAAGCGTCGCTCTCGGACCTCTTCAAAACAGTGCTGGACAAGGCGGGTGTCCAGCCAGGCCAAGTTTCCGTGATCGAGGCTCATGGCACCGGAACAGCTGGTATGTATTACATCGACCCTAACCCTAACTTGGACCTCAACCCCGAGAGCAGCAATGCCGTCCAACTCTGCTTGCCTTCGCTTCGTACACAGACATAGACTGACATGGCATCAGTCGGGGACCCGGCCGAGTACGGCGCGATCCGACAAGTCTTTGGTGCCTCATCAAAGCGACAGACACCACTTTCGCTCGGGTCGGTGAAGGGATCCATCGGCCACACTGAGTGCACGGCGGGCGTCCTCTCGCTGATCAAAGTCATTCTCATGATGTGCAATGGCAGAATCCCTCCACAGGCCTCTTTCAACACCATCAACCCGTCTCTCAACGCCAGCCCTGCAGACATGATTGAAATCCACACCGGGTCCGACAAAGCGTGGGACGCCCCGAGTAAAGCCGCGCTTGTGAACAGCTACGGTGCCTCGGGGTCCAACGCTTGCATCCTCGTCAAGCAGCCGCCGCCGCCGCCGCCGAGGGTGGTGGAAGCGGGAAAAGTGGCGCTTGCGGAGACCGGAGACCGGCAATTTCCATTCTGGCTCTCCGGTCACGACGAGGAAGGCCTGCGACGAGGTGCTGGAGCACTACGCAAGTTCATCTCGGGTCTCGGGAGGAAGACGACAGCCAACAACAACAATAACAACGAACCGCCATCAATGGCCAAGATATCCGCGAGCGTATACCGTCAGAAAAGCCACGCCCTACGCCGCGCGCTCTTCGTGAAAGCCTCGACGCTGGACGAGCTCGAGCGTAAGCTCCAAGCATACGAGCATGCCCAGCTGCAAGCCGACACTTCCACATCGCTCCCAACCCCCAAGCCAGTCATTCTGTGCTTCGGCGGACAAGTATCGACTAGCGTAGGCCTCGACAGGGACGTCTTCGAGCGCATGGCGATCCTGCGCAAGCACCTCAACGAAGTCGACGCCGTCGCCACCGCACAAGGCGTCGGCAGCATCTACCCGTCCATCTTCGAAACCACGCCGGTCGCGGACCCTGTCAAGCTCCAGGTTGCACTCCTCGCACTGCAATACGCATGCGCTCGCAGCTGGATGGACTGCGGCATCACCCCAGCCGCCGTCGTCGGCCACAGCTTCGGCGAAATCACCGCGGCGTGCGTAGCCGGCGTGCTGAGCCTGCGGGACGCAGTCAAACTGGTCGTCAGACGCGCCAGTCTCGTGCGTGATCGCTGGGGCCCGGACAGAGGAGCCATGCTTGCCGTCGAGGCAGACCTGGCGGATGTGCAGGGCCTGATTGCCGAGTCCGGGGGCCAGGTAGCCGTGGCGTGCTACAACGGGCCTCGAAGCTTCACTCTCGCCGGATCCACCGCTGCCATCGAGGCGGTCGCGCAAAAGGCAGCCTTGACCTGCGCCGCTGCCCGAGGAGCCAGGCCCTTCAAGGCCAAGGTGTTGAACGTCACGCATGCCTTCCACAGTGTTCTTGTCGAGCCACACATTGTGGAGGAACTGGAACGGTGTGCCCAGACCTTGACCTTTCAGAAGCCGAAGATCCACATGGAGAAAGCGGATGAGCTCGGGGGTGCCGAAGACAAGGAGAGGCTGGGCCCGGCCTTCTTACCCAGGCAGATGCGGAACCCGGTATACTTCCACCATGCCATCGAGAGACTGGCCGAAAAGCACCAGAGTACGGGTGCCATCTTCCTCGAGGCAGGTTCCGCGTCCACCGTCACCAGCCTGGCCAGCCGGGCCCTCGTTGGCCAGTCGGATGGAGACTACTACAAGTTCCAGCCCGTAATCATCACCAGCACCCGGCCAGCGACCAGCTCAGCAAAGTGCTGGGATGGTCTCGTGGACGCAACAATCAAACTCTGGACTGCCGGCGCCGGGCCAGCCCTGCAGTTCTGGGCACATCATCCCCTGCAAACCAAGAACGACCCATCGCCGCCCCTACTGCTCCCGCCGTACCAGTTCGAACCCTCGAGGCATTGGCTCGACCGTCTCCCTCCGCCCCGGGAGCTGTCACAAGAGGAAGAAGCCAGTGCCGGAACAGACAAGACCTCGGCCACCGGCTTGGTATGCTTCACCGGCTTGGCAGACGACGGTAACAGCAACAAGGTCAGGTTCCGTGTCGTCAGCGACCACCCCCGATACAAGAAGCTCGTCAACGGTCACCACATGGCGCGCACGGCAGGTATCTGCCCGGTGTTTGTGCAGCTGGACCTCGTCATCCAGGCTCTTTGCATGACCCTGCGCACGCCTGTCGGACTTGAGAATAACGGACACAGCAACGATTTGCTCATTGCATCAGGCCAGGAACCGCACATCCACAACGTGGTCTGCCTCGCACCACTCTGTGACAACCCGGCTCGCATGGTTTGGCTCGAGATTTCGCCTGCGTCGACTTCATGTAGTCTCCTTCGCTCTGCCAACGGCGGCGACGAATATCTCGGGGGAGGCGATGGCGACAACAGGGGCGAGATTTCCTTCGAGCTGTATAGCACCGATATGGTCGACGATCCCCTGGCTTCAAACCTTGGGCTGTCCGAGAAGAACAAGATTCTGCACACGTCCGGGGAAATCAGCCTCGCCTCCCGCAGCGACCCAGCAGCCAAACGGGACATTGAGCAATTCGCACGCCTCGTCAACATGGGCCAGATCACGCAGCTGCTGCACAGCAGCGCCGTGGACCTGGACATCAGTCTCTCACACGACAACGTGTACCACATGTTTGAGGAAGTCGTCGAGTACTGCGCCGAATACCGTGGTATCCAACGACTCGTATCTCGCAACAACCAGAGCGTCGCAATCGTGAATCGCCAAGTCGACGACGGCGGCAGCAGCTATGATGGCCGTCACTCGTGGCTCCAGCCCTGCGTGGCGGATACGCTGGCCCAGGTTGCCGGGATATGGATGAACTGCTTGGCCGTGGATCGGGAGCCCGGATGTCTGTATGTCTTCAGCGGACTGGAGCGGTGGCTGAGAGCACCAAGTCTGGATGAGGATATCAATGGTGGCCAACCGTCTGATATGCATCTGCTGGCGACTCACCACCGCACATCGAACAAGACGGCCGTTAGTGATGTATTCGCTTTCGATTCTCGTACTGGGAAGCTACTCGAGGTCATCCTCGGCGTGGGATGGGCTAAGGTGCCGAGGTCGCATATGCAGAAGACGCTTGTGCGGTGCGCCGGAGCCCAACGTACCGGGCTTGCAGCACAGGGACTGGCTTCAGACCCGACGGGAGCGGGAGCAACGGAAGCAGCAGCAGCAGGAGCACAATATTCCAACCTCGCCAACCACCAGAAGATGGAAGACAAGGGGCAGAGACTCGCGCCGTCAGGAGTCTCCCATGCCAGGTCTCCCTTGGCGGTGACAGGAGGCGCAGACACGCTAGACGTTGCTGGCAAGCTCAAGAGCATTCTGGTCGAGCTCTCGGGCATCGAGACGTGCAATCTTACCGACGACAGCGAGCTGGCGGACCTCGGCATCGACTCGCTCATGAACATGGAGCTGGCGTCTGAGATCCGAACTGCCTTCAAGCTTAGGATCAACGAGGGCGCCCTACTGGAGGCGGCAACCGTTGCTGACCTGACGCTGCATGTGCGGGAGCTCGTCGAAACACAAAATCCAGGCGTGCTGGCACGTGGAAACACGGCGTCGTCCATCCCAGCGTCGTCGGTCTTGGCGGCCGATGCGGATAATACCAAATGGAGTAGTCCAACCGCCGGGTCCGAGCCGGACCTATCCACGCCGACTTCACCCCCGTCATCAGTCGGAGAAGAAGAGCGACGAGGCCAACGGAAGGGGGGTGTCCAGTATCCTTGACAACTAACGGCCCGCGAGGCTGTGGTGATGGAGTACGTCCGCACCATGACCCAAGGCTGGGCCGCCCCTTTAGAAATGGCTGCCGCCGCTGATGGCACAATCACCGCACCTAGAGCCACGAGAACTCAAGACCGCGTAGTGGTCGTGACAGGAGGCACAGGCGGCCTCGGCGCGCATCTCGTAGTGAAACTGGCCACAGATCCCAGCGTGGCCCGCGTTGTCTGCCTCAACCGCCGCAAGCCCAACAACAACAGCAATGCCACTGCCCGCCAGCTTCGAGCAATCCTCACCAAGACCGGCATAGACCTTGGCCAGGCACGCTATTCTGCCGCGAGAGCAAAGCTCGACGTCCTCGAGACGGATCTTTCGCAGCCCGCGCTGGGCCTCGACCCCGCGGCATACCTCGATCTAACCCGCAGCGTCGGCGAGATTGTACACAACTGCTGGCTCATGAGCCTGGGGCGGGACATCGGCCACTTCGAGCCGCAGCTGCGCATCATGCGCCACATGCTCGACCTCGCGCGCGATGCGGCGCTGCGCCAGCCCCCGACGACGACGACGACGCCACATGCAATCACCTTCCAGTTCGTGTCATCGGTGGCGGTGGTTGGCCACGCGCCCGCGGGCGCGGTACCCGAGGAACGCGTGCGCGGTATCGAGAGCGTGCTGGCGGCCGGGTACGCCGAGGCCAAGTGGGCGTGCGAGCTGATGATGGACGCGACGCTGCACCGGTGGCCCGCCGGGGACGGTATGTTCCGGGCGATGGTGGTGCGCCTGGGCCAGATCGCGGCGTCGCGCGTGAGCGGCTACTGGAACGCGGGCGAGCACGTCTCGTTCATCATCAAGTCGTCGCAAACGCTCGGGGTGCTGCCACGGCTGGGCGGCGTGCTGACGTGGACCCCGGTGGAAGACGTAGCGGGCGCGTTGACAGACTTGCTCGTCGTAGCGGCGCGGCCCTATGCAGTGTATCATGTGGATAACCCCGTGAGGCAGCCCTGGGCGGACATGATTGCTGTGCTGGCAAGGGAGCTCGGGTTGGATGATAACGGCGGCGAGTGTGCGGTTCCGTTTGCCGAGTGGGTGCGGCGGGTGCGCGAGGTCGGGCCGCGAGCCGGGAACCCGGCGTATGTGCTCGTTGACTTCCTCGAGGCTAACTTCATGCACATCTCGTGTGGCGGCCTGTTGCTTGAGACAAGCCATTCACGGGAGCACTCGCCCACGATGCGTCAAGTTGGGCCCTTTGGCCAAGATTTGACGCGTTTGTTTATTCGGAGGTGGAAGGAATCGGGCTTCTTGTCGCCGTAGCTTACGATGAATGGTTTTCTGTAGTTGCGGTGGTAAGGAAAGGCAATTCGACCCCAAAAGATTCAACGCTGACCTCACAAGACAAGGAGAGAGAGAAGAGAGACGGTTAGTTAGGGAGTAATTATTTTTTTGTCTCTAGCTTCGAGGCCGTTGGGCCTGCTTATAGCAAGTATCAACTAGCACTTAGAACCTTGGACCAATAAGCTTTGTGGCGCAGGAATCTGAAAATGTCGACGGATTGGCTCTTTATAGGTAGGGAGGGTTAATAGTTTTACCTAGGGAGTAAGTTCTAGCCCCTATATATAAGTTTTATACCTAAGGGAAGTAGCTTAGGCTCTTTGAGAGATATAATTATAGTAAAAGCAGATAAAGTCTATAGTAGTAGAGCGTAATCTTGACTACCTATTTAAGAAATTATATTTAGATTAACCCTTAATTATACTTTTAGTTAATTACTATTAAAGTATTATATAAAGTAGCTAAGGTCTTTATAATATTAGTACTAAAAAGTAAGTAACTATCTAAAGAGAAATATAGATTTACTAATATTATAAATACTAACTTATATATAATTTATACTAAAAGGGTTATACTTTAGAAAAAAGATATTAATTTTTTAAAGATAATAACTAAAAGAATAAAGATATAAGTATATATATTACCCTTAATAGTTAATTACTATATTAATTATTATACTTAATATTTAGCTAGACTAACTTTTATTATTTATAAATTAAATAGTGTATTACATACCTTTACTACTACTATTAAAACTACTCTCTTAAGCCTAATTAGTATATTAAAAGTTACTTAGCTATAGTTCTTACTTAATTTACTTAAAATAAAACCCTTAAGGTTATTTATAACACTAGTAAGACTAATAAGAATAAACTATTTACTTCTTACTATTTAAATATAAATAGTGTTTATAAGGCTATTTTTATCTTAAGAAGTGTTTATATTATAACCTAATAAGTTATAGGCTATATTACCCTACCTAACAAAGGATAATAGGCAGCAGCAGTATTTATATAGATAAGAAATAAGGAACAGACAGATAACTTCTTAAAACAAAAGAACTATAGTATAAGTTATATAACTATAAGCATAAGATAAGATAAAGAATAAGTACTTATTTATAAGTAAAATAAGCGCTTAGTAGATACCTAAGTAAGCACTTATTTTACTTTATAACTATTAGTTAAAGGAACTATTTAAGAGATAGTTAGGACTTATATATAGAATAGACGTAGAAGCACTTAAGGACAGACTCCTATAGCTCTTTAGTAATTAACTTATAATATATTCTTTAAATACTTTTTAGTATCTAACCTTAGTAATTTAATTAATAAAAAGCTATATAAGCTGCCTTATAACCTTAAGCCTTAACTAATTACTAAGTAATTAATAAGAATAATAAAGAAAAGAAATACTATTAACTAGGTACTAACCTCTACTTACTATTAGTAAAAACCTTACTATCTAGAAACTAGCTATAACACTTTAATTACTTTTATTAAGTAAGTTAACCTTTAGAGAGTAAAAAAAAAATATAAAATATAATATAATATAAAAATATAATATAAATATAATATAATATAATATAAATATAATATATATATTTATATTATATTATATTAAGAAAAAGATATATGTATTTATATTATATTATATTATATTTTGTATTATATTTTGTATTTAATATAACAATACAAGATATAAAATAAATATTAGTATTTTATAGTATAATTATACTTTTAGGACTTTATTATACTTAGTAATACTATATATTCTAATTATAAATACTATAAAATATATATATAAATATTTAATAAGAAATAAGTAAAGATTATTAGTATTATTAAATATAAAAGTAATAAACTCTATTTAAGTACTTTTATTTAGGTATTATATAACTATTTAATCTATATATAATTTAAATATTTTATATAGTAAAGCTTTACTTTAAACTATATAAGTAAGATAAGATTAGTATTTAAGTAATAATAAACTTCTTATTATATATTAAGATCTTTTTTAATTAATAAAGACTATTTAAGTATATTTAGCTAATAATAACTTAACATAAATATATATAACTTAGTACTTAAATTCGTTTTAAATTCTAAATTTTCTAATTATATTTTTTCTTTATACTACTAATTTCTTATTTTAAAAAAAGTATTTAAATCTTATATTTAAGAGATTATTATATATATTAACTTATTAAGAGTATTAAATATACTATCTAGATTATCTAAACTACTAGATTCTTACTATTTCTTTATAAGTATTAATCTTTTTCTAGTAGTATTAAACAAATTAGTTCTTCTTTTAGTATTAATATTACTAAATTAATTAAAGCTACTTTTTACTATAATAAGAGTAGAAGGTATAGCTAAGTATTAACTAGCTAATATAAATAATATAAGTAATTTCTTTATATTACTATTCTACTAGTCTATAGAATTTATATATATAATAGTTAGTAAGTATTATATTATATTCTATATATTAAAGTAGTAGTTTTATAATATCTTAGAGATTAAGTATTATAGTATTTAAAGTATTATATAGTATAATATATATAGAGAAGTATAAAGAAATATATAAAATATATCTTAATTATTAAAGTTAAGCTTAATAGAAAATAAAACTAAAATGTTTACTTTTAAATTACTCTTTTATTTAAGTAAGTAAACTACTAGCCCTACTAATTACCTAACTAGGTAACCTTTTATATTTATAAAACTTATAAGATTTAAAAACTTTCTAATTTCTTTCTTTTTATATATTATATAATATATTATATATATTATTCTATTAATATTATTTTATATTATAATATATAGTAGTATTAAAACTAGTTACTTAATATATATAAGCTCTATACTTTAGGTATTATAACCTTTTATCTTATTATAGTATT